AGATCCCCCATCCCCAGATGCGAGAACTGCAGTGTTAAATGTTTTAATTGTCTAAAGCTAAGATGTTTGTCTAGCTAGTGATTGAGTCTGTATGCTATTTTACCAGCAAACAGCTGGTATGTACTGGTAAAACATTCCTGAGTACTTTCACAGGCACTGAATGCAGGTATAGTAACACCTTATCTTTTAGTTCTATCTTGGTTTATGACTACTCTGTGCTGCTAGGTGCTGAGGGCCCAGTTTAATTACATGCCACAACACTTACTCCTGCAGGAAGAGAGGAGGAGCGAGACCTTTTTGCTGTGGTGAGCTGTTACATCCACTCAATTGTTCTACTTAACTTCCTGCAGGGCTCAGGTTCCTGCATGCTTGGAAAGTGAAGATAAGACAGATTTCCATTCTAACCAAGTTCAAATCTCTTAGATGTACATGTCAGAAAATGCAGTTTGGTCTCAGCTCTTATCTCTGGAAGTGGAGTAACTGATTGGAATGAGATAACATAAGAAGGAGTGGAAGAACCAGGAGGGAGGTGGTGCCAAAATGTATATACAAGAGGATGTTTCAGAGGAAGCCATTATGTTTATTGTGGCCAACAGGCTTTCCATGACATTAACCTAGCCATAGTTGAGGTGAGACTGTTCCATTTTTCTTCACATTGACTGTAGTTAAGTCATCCATGTAGGCATGGTACAGCTCTCCAGTAATTCTCACAGGATTGCTTTTTTGGCCTCTCTGTTCATACCCTAAATTTGAGCCTAATGCACAGAGGGAGGGTTATACCCAGTATGGGAGGTTCATGCTGGGTAACTACCAGTTCAAATAACTGTCCTGGCTGCTCTTTCTGCCGTGTCTTACACTACTCTTCTTGAACTTAAAAAAAAGCAAGGTTGTTTGGAGGGGCTTTTTGTTAGGCTAGTTTTAATTTAAATCAGTTCTATCAGTTGGTTAACCACTTGGCCACATGAGTGCTTGTGCCAACTCGAAGGAGACCTTGCTACAGGAGAGGGAACAAAGGGTGAGAGTCTGGAGGGAGAGTCTTTTAAGCTGACAGTGATGCTGATAGTGCTTGTGGATCCACCATTATGCAAGCATTTCTGCTCCCTGAAACTCACTTTCCACACACTTGACCCATTATTAGGAAATAATCTAAACAGGGCATTCAGAGGACTTTCCATGGTAACAGCCCTATCAAAGACATGTAAAGTAACCTATTCATCTCAGTGAATGAGTGTGCTTTAGAGAAGAATGGAACTTTTTAATATAGGTCAAAGTGGTGATTGCTCCATTTATCTGCCACACCTCGAAAATTTCAATATGGCCATTTGCAAACTGAGGAGGAAACAGTTTTGCCCTCACAGTAATCTGAATGGCCCCTGGTAATAATGCAGATATTTCAGGAGGGAGAAGAGCAAAGATCTCTCTTTTTTATAGGATCGCTGCTCTTGCCATCATTACCTGGTGTTGGTTTTGATTTTTCAGCTGGATCATTTTAATGATATAATTTATATTAAGATTCCCAGGAGCAGTTACGTGGAAACAACTTGGTCTGGCCTTTCTGCTAAAAACGAACCATGTGGTGGATCTATGTCTAAGGCGGCCTTTCATTCCAAACCCTTTCAGTCCTACAGCAGTGCTCTCACACACAACAACTTAGCATGCGTCAGATGGTGTCCCAGGTTCCATTGAACTTGCCCATAACTGAGCCTAGACTAAATATTGTGTGACTGTAATAAATGTAAAGCCGTGATCAGAGCAGAGCCACAGCACAAGCTCAAGTGGATATAAAAATACACTGGAAGGATGAGTTGGATTAACTAATGCTATTTTTGAAGGGGCTTTTTTTGAGAAATCCTTCACTCTAGCAACATTCTATTTAGGCCATTGTCACTACCCTGGGAGATACTGTCAAAAGGAGATAGACCATAGCTCTAGACAACTGGAATTCTAAATGTGCAACGTTCATGTTATTTTGTCTCTAAGCAAAAAGTGATATGGAATCTTAACTACAACTGCAGTGAAGAAAGGTTGTCTTGATGCCACTTTGATTGATTATCTGTCTTAGCATCCTACATATTCAAGTAAATTGATTATCTGTATAAATGTGAGTAGCACATAAATATCAGATGATGCCAAATGTCCCACGCACTTGACATCTCATCATCTTTAACTGAAAATAAATGTTAACAGCAGGAAAGAAGGAGATATCTTTCTGACAAAACAATTACAGAAAGTAAGCTATCCACAGATAAGAATCCCACACAAAGGGAAATCCACCTTTGCACATTTGTTTGTGAGGTAAATCCTGCTCTGGAAAGTGCAGGCACGTTTTTTGAGGAAAAAAACCACTTTTCCTTGGGAAGCCATTTGCGTTATTATTTTTTCTGTCTGTTCTTGTTTCATGTCTACCTTCTAGTGTTGATATGAACAGTTTTCAAGTAGAGACTGTGAGTGTGCTCTGCGATTCTCTGCTCTGACCTACTAAGAACTTAGACAGCCCTTTGCCTCAGTGCTTTTGTGCAGTTCTCACCTCAACAACAGCATTTAAAAACAGATACATATTTCTAGAAAGATCTGCTTATTTTAATTAATAAAATAAGTATGTATTTTTCATATTCTGGAAGAAGAGAAAGTTTTTTGGAGGACATTGTACTGAATGACAGCAAAGTTTTGGAAAGATTGGAATCACATCACATAATTTTAAGTGAAGTTTGTCTTTGCAGTGCTAACTGCCTCCCTCAGGTTAGCCTTTCTTCTGCAAAGGCAGTCACACTGCAACAGAAACCACCTTTGAGCTCCTCAAAGTCAGGGCTAGCACAGCTGAGAACTTGCTGGGCTCTTCGACTCACTAACTATGCAGAAAACGGTTGGCTTTTTTTTCCACTCTGGGCTAGTCTTGTGTCAGGTTAGTGAGCTGAACTGGCTTATAGGGGAACTAACAAGCACCAGATTGCTCAGAGTAGACATAGAGAAAAGAGGATCTTCTTGTTGCAATGAGCCATCATATGAGCTTCAGCTGCTTTATGCAACTTCAGCCTTGCACTCATGGAACAGAGCAGGTAGAGCAGAACATGCAAGTGATCCATATTATTTTCAGTATAGTTATTTTAGAAACTTAATTTAAATCTAAATTCAACTAAACTGTTTAAAAGCACTAGAGTGAATTACAGTTGTATCACACATTTTTCTGGTTCACACGCGGAAGGAGTAACCCTGTGATTCTAGTGCTGCAAGGAATGGTGATATCTAGAAGGATACCTAATTGTGCCGTGATGGCAGGAACAGATCCCTTGTTCTCCTACCAAAGATAACAGTTCTGTATGCAAGTAATAAAACAGATGCAAGTTCAAGGATGTATCTTTGAACCAAATCATTGCAAAGAGAGAAGAGAGATTTTTAAACCAACAATGTTACTAGCACTACAAGCCAAAGAAGGTTTATACTGAGAAACCAGTGTAGAATGTGAAAAGTGGCAGATAAGCATACAGTGGAACAACTGTATGTCCATGTCACTAAAATAAATATGATAAAAACCCCTATGATTTTCTAGGGATCCTTCTCTGACTTCTCAGAATTGTTTTAAAAATGCTAGTCAAATGGCAGGTAGTATCTACCTTGGTGGAAATTATTTACCTTCATAATTTCTGTCATAATAGAATTAACAAGAGCATAATTAACCATGGAGCCGTAAACAAACACTATATCCAGTAATATTTTTGTGTAAGAGTGTAAGATTTTGTGAAGAGGGACTTGGGTGGAATTTAGGTCTCTATGTATAAAAAAACCTGGCGGCTGTTGCTGCTGCAGTAAAGACTTGACTATTTGACTTCAGTTGTACCCTTCTGTGTGCCCAGAACTGACCTAGCTTTGGCAGGGCTGTGCAAGTATATGCCCAAACATGCCCAAGATTCAGAAATTAGTTGTTCTGCTTGAATATACACTGAAAGGAAAATGCTAGAAATGCACACCTTGCAGGCAGTACAGTCTGTAGAGTACTTGTACAATCACAAAATGAAGTAGTGGCTAGTAGGATTTTGCAGAGTAATGGTTAGTTATGGCATGACATTTGCCACTTACCATGTCATCGTTCCCTGCACTGTTTCTATGTTTTCTGTACTTCATTTGGTTACTGGACAACACAGACTCCTTGCCCAATACAGACCAGGGACCAGAACCCATGCCTGCCCCTACCAGCTGGGCATCAACTTTGTGTACTTTCTTTCTAGCTCACTGAATTCTCCAGTTCATTGCTGCACAGCACCATACTGTCAGTGGACAGATGAGGATAGTCCCCTACCCTAACATGGGCAGTGGCAAGGCTAGGAGAAGGGTAAATGCTGAGAAGGAAATTAAGTGTTGTGTTTTCCCCACCATCCTTGCCTAACTGTTTGGTTAATTGCAGAGGACTAACTTGCTAGAAAAGTCTTAGAGATGGTAATTGGAAATGATGGGATGAAATTTTAACTGTACATGTTTTCTTTCATCAGTCAAAGTGTTATTTTCTTTCAATTAAGCCTGTTAATTGTGGCATGTAGGCAGAGGTTATATCTTTTCTTAGACTAACTGATGTCACTGCTAAAAGCTCATAGTTAAGAATTATGATGGTAACTCATACCTTGTTTTAGTTTAAATGACTGAAGGTGAATATATTAAAGGGGAGCAACCAGGTACTCATGTAGGTGACCTACACTCACAAGTAAGTCTATTTTCTTACTATCTGAGAGAATCTCATTGCATGCTAATTTCATATAAGTTCATTAAACCAACCTGTTGTATGGCTGATGGATCAGCATACTGCTGTGTTCTGTTGAGGTCTTGCATTTCTTCCTGCTTACAAAGCCTTTCTAACAGTAACTTTTCGCCTTCTGTTACTGTGTGCACTCTCTCTGTTAACAGTTTTTGGAAGTGGAATATGGTGTTTTCAGAAGCATTTTTCTTAAGTGGAACAGGTGACACCTCTGTGGAGAAAAGCAAAGTATGTAATTAGAGTGTACAAGTCAAGGAACTGCTGACGCTGAAGTTTAGCACATGCTAGATTCTAATGCTAATGCTGTCCTACGCTCTTTTGGCAGGCATTGCCTGGTGTTGTATAAAGGGTCATTGTGTAACAGCGAGTAGGAATGAAGCAGACCTTGTAAAAATCATTTATATTTGAAACTTTCAGCTTTGCCTAGCTACTGCCTTTTGCAAGACATGCTTATCTAACGGGCAATAAATGAAAGTATATTTAATCACATAGAGTTAGCCCTGTTAGTACAGTTTGTGATGGTGTACTGCTCAGGTTGAATCATAGAATCACAGAATGGTTTGGGTTGGAAGGGACCTCACAGATCATCTAGTTCCAACCCTCCTGCCATGGGCAGGGAAACCCTCCACTACACCAGGTTGCCCAAAGCCTCATCTAACCTGGCCTTGAAAATTCCAGGGATGGGGCATCCACAACTTCTCTGGACAACCTGTTGACTTCAAAAATGTTGTGTTCAGATCTGTTGTGTTCATCTGTCTGTAGACAAGACATCATTTTAGTATTAAAAATAGGAGGAGAGCCTCCTAAAAACTGAGCTTGTCATCCCTCATTGTTGACTTTTTGATTATTTAGGACCTGACAATTCTGCCAGGAAGAAAAACAGCTCCTGACCTTTCCTATATCAGATTGCATGCTGCATATTTCTATCCATCCCTTCATTTTTCTCTCTCAGTAATTCTGTACCATATCTTCTCTCTGGAATAGCTGTCTTAACCTGTATTCTCTTGTACAACATTTAGATGTTTATGTCTAAACATGTAATTTCTCCTCTCGTTTACTGACACATGGTATAATAGGAGGAAACCAAAACCGTGACTGAGATATTGTCCCTATTTTCCTCTGGGCAACACAGATAATTAAGATACCTTATTCTTATTAAAATATTTTTAGTTTTTTCCTTGCACTTCATTCTTATAACTTAAAGAAGTATTTCCTGAAGTTTCCTTCATTTATACCATGTATGAGGACTGAAATAAAAAAAATTGCAGTTTTCCTTAGGCCTACATTTTTATTAGGACTCTTCTTTTGCAGATTGTTGAGGATGAGAGAAGAATGTTAGTTTGGAGCTTGATGTTAAGTTCTATTGATTATTTTTTTTTAACTGTTTGAGTAGTGGAAACTAGAATCTGGCATCCAATTCAACAGCAGTGTGTAGATGCTTTAAAAAGTCAGGGGCTCTTACCATCATTCCCTGTTTTTCTCTTGATACCCAAGGATCCTGTTTTTGCTGTAACATCTCCCACTGCAACTTAGAAGAGAAAAGCAAGGTGACTAAGTATTTTGCAGAGAATCTTGAAGCACAGTCAGTCATACACCAAAAAGCTTTATACTACTACAAAAGCAAATTCACTGGGACAAGTGATCTGCAGCAATGAAAATCTTCTAGAAAAGTTAGGTGCTGGTGGGTTGGCACATAAAATCAGGGTGGAGACACAGTTTTTCGGCAGATGCCTTGCGCAGCTTAATAACTAAAGCTTCTTTTCTGAGAGGTTATTGTTCTACTGTTTCCTATGTCAGCATTCACAGCACAGATTATGTAGTCCTTTCCCAGCATGCCAAAATGTTATACAGCCAAATTAGCTCAAATATTCTTGGTGTTGACAAATTCCATTCACAGAGAGTGGAAATGAGCAGTAATATCTTCAGTTTCTGGATTTGGAAGAAAATGTCTGTCTTAAGAATGTGATTGAGCACAAGAATGAGGCAGGTGAGAAGCAGTGGCGTCATCCCGTGGCTGTGTGGATGTCATTTCAGCCTCAACTAATGGCACTACTGTATGGTGCCCTTGGATACTGCATTAGGGCTGATTCATGACAGAGGACAGCTGCCTTAAAGATGGCTCCAGCAGTTTCTGTTCAAGCTGTCCATCTGTCCTCTGCTGCAGAAATGGTTCACATCTGACATTTGTGACACTGCAAATTATTATATAACTGAGAAAAATCAGAGTTAGTAGCGGTTTACCATAACTCACTGAGCTCTAAGCTGCAGCGGTTAAGTTGCTTCTACAAGGGCATCTGATCTGCCTGAAGCAGGGGCATGTGCCTCTGAGAGCCAGAGCAGCTGGCCAGTCGTGAGAATCCTTAGAGCAGACACAAGGTTAGCTGTGTGCTTCCTAGATCAGATAGGTCTTTTGACAGATAGGTCTTTTGATACCAAAATAGAAGCAAACTCTATTTAGAAAACTGATACTGCTTTAGGAAAATTATTATGGTAACTGCAAGTGCTCAAATAAACGTCACCACCCTGGATTGACTGTTCTTTGAATTGAATTAATGAAGCTTGCTTCTTTTGAGTCTTTGCACTTGGCTTGCAGCTCTCTATCCATAGTACTTTACATGCCTGCTTGATCATCTCTAAAACCTGTCACATTTTCTAGCATCATTTCACTGTATCTCACTTAAGCTTCCAAAAGCAGAAAGATTTGTCTATAACATTGAACACTTCAGATCTTTTCACTTTTTGTTAATGTCCTCACTTCTAAACTCCTCCAAAGACTACTGCTATAGTTTGCTGAGTACTGCCTACTTTACCATGCAGATACAGGTTCTTCAGTTATTTTCCCTCCCCATTCTGGCCACATACTTCACTCCTACGGCATGGGCTGACAGGCAACTTTAAGTTTCATTTTAAGTGCTTTATCTCATTACTGAAGTTTTTAGTACCTGATAGGAGACTTGAACTTTCACATCCCCAGCTTGAGGGACCCAGAGGCTGTCTTCTCAAGATACAGTCGACTTCATCGTAAAATCTCATTTTTCTCCTGGGATTACCAAGATGCTCATTTTCCTTCTGCAGTGCACGGTATTCGTATTTTAGGTTCTTGTACTTTGTGCGACATTGTTTCCAGTCTCTGTCTATACCACGTTTCATTAACCTCCTGGCAATTTCCTCAAATATTTCTTTATTTCTTGTGGCCCCTTCAAGCATTTGTTGTATCTTTTTATCTGACCATATGTTTATCAGAGCTCTGACTTCATTATCACTCCAGTGTTTTCCTGCTCCAGTATCATTAACTGTAATAACTTTAAAGTGATTTTGCGTTTCTTCTAAGGGAATGTGATTTTCTGAAAATAAAAATGAAACAACAACTGAGTATTGCTGAATATACGTACATTAAAGTGTAATTGTAGCTAATGATTTGGTAACAAGCTGAAGGATTAATGTTTATAATAATATCTCGTTATGAAAATTTTTTAAGTTTTCAATTTTAATATCCATACATGATTACATTTCTCTAAAGTATGCAAAATATGTAGCAAGTGTAATCTCTTGTTTCTCCAAGGCATCTAAAATTCCACATTTTGTCAGTGTAATTTTGTTGCTGCGGTTGTCAAATTAAAGACAGATATATCCCTGAGTGCTACATGCAGGAAAGCAATAGGCCTTAAAGCTTTAAAAGCAACAATATATCAGCAGTGATAAGAAAATGGCTTTCCAGTATGGTTTCAAATTAGAATGGCAAGGCAAAATATCATACAAATGAAAATGCTACTGGGGGTTCAATAGAAGAAGAAATTTTTACCTACATATTCACAAGTAAGCAGATGCTGGTCATCAGATATGTCTAGTATGCAAAGTGGAACTATAGTCTTAATGCAAATTTTGCTCACGATGGGAATAGAGTTATGAAACTAATTTTTAAGTTTAGTGATAAAACTAGACTGGAGTCAGAAGCAGAAAAGTACAGCTGTGTCTACAGTAGAGATCTGGTTGCTCCAGCTTTGGGACTGAGATTACAATGTGATTTTGTTTCAGAATAAAGGCATGGAAATTAATACTTACCTGTCCCGACTATCCATTTTGCTACTGGCGTACAAGGTCTGTCTTCTGAGGTACTGCTTATAGAATCATCATCTACAGAAATACACAGTTTTAAATAAAATAGACTTGGACTTAGGCAAATAAATTGCTAATATTATTGTCATCCTCTGCAGGTAACACCTATCTTCAATTAAAGGTGTTGTAAGCTTTTAGTCTAACCCATTAGTTATAACAAGTCTTCTGCCACATGCCTCCCTAAATCAAATTATTTATTGGCATTTCTCGTAAGCCCTATCTTTCTTTCTGCCCCTGCATTCCCCAAAAGGTGGCTGTGGATGCCACACAAATTTAAAATACTTGATTAAACAAGTAGGCGCATGCGGATAGTTTGTATCTCTCATGTTAGTGGATTTGCCTGACATGTTTTTACACATTGATTAGCACAGGTGTGCCTTACAGGTTTTTTCCTAGGTGATGTGGGTAGGGCAGGCTTGGTGAGGCTTTGGTGGCATTTGTAAGGGCACACCTCTGTGGATTCACTCATGCCTAACAGGGCTGCAGCCTTTCCCTTTGTGGGGTCACGCATGCTCCCCCGCTCCTGTCATTAAATGAGCAGGGACTTGGGCCCTAGAAGACCACTGTCCTCCTCTCCAGTTTGGAAGCTGTGCATGTGATTCAGATGAGATGAGGAGGAGTAAGAGACAAAGGCACCTGTCGGCAGACCTGCATGCAGTGTGATTTTGCATAAGCTGCATTTCATACTGCTGATGGGGCTTTTCTCAGATCTTTGTGAGTTTCCCTGGTACCGCAGAAAGAAACTTAAAAGAGACCATTGCTCTTTATTTCTACTTGTTCTCCTCTATTCAGGACTCCTTTTTACCACTTAAAAAAAAAAAAAAAAAAAGAAAAAGAAAAAAAAAAGAGTGTTTTAGAGCCATAAAACTAGGCTTTAAGGTGTGCCTTTCCCTGATTCCAGGAGGGAGGGCAGGAAGGGACGTAAGGTTTGGTGGGGAAGGTTACATACTTTTGTCTTCCTTTAGGAGACAGCCATGTTTTTTGCTTTTGGATGAGAGGGTAGTCTGTGATACAGTGCTTTTGTGATGGAGGTAACATAAGCAGAAGAAAAATTGGAAAGCAAACAATTCATTAATGCTTTTGTGGAAATCTTTAGTTTCAGCTTACATCGCACTTTCTATATGTAGGGATGGCTCTATCTGAAGCTATTATATGTGGCTAAAATGACAAAACAGGGAATACAGAAGAACTATTTTTTTATTCTAGCAGCATCTGAGTTCTCTTTGAATTCCATTCCTAACAGGATAGAAACATCATGCTCCTTTTCATGACCTTCCATGATTTCTATGCTCATTTATTCCAGAACATTAATATCCTTACTGTATTCTAATGTTAAATTTTAATGTTTTTAATAAAACAAATCTTCTTCTGAATACTTGTCATTGAATGTATGACTCCTACATACTGCTGAGGCTCTGATTTCAGTTTTACTTGTAAAATAATTCAGAATATTTATGGCAATTGTTCGATAGTGAATAGTCTGAAATGAAATGTATTGCCATGCAGTAGTTTGAAAAGACAGACAAGGCATAAAATGTTCAGTGTTTCTGAGACAGCTGTTTAACTTTCCAATTTATCTAGCAACTGTGTATGAAAAAAAACAGTATTTGTGTCCCAATCAAGTGCCAACTTATCACATCTAGCATAATAAGGAGTATGTTGTCTGGGAAAATAAGATATTGTTATTAATTGGGGGAAGGAGAAGTAAATATGCATTTTTGCACAACAAAATTAAACAAAAAAAGCATAACCTAGAAGTAGAGTGAGTCTAAAGTACAGGAATAACATATGAACCTTAGAAACTGGCAGTTCCTAGTAAAGTAAACTGTGCTTTTTAACCATCAAGACACAGTCTTGACCTACCTATGTCAATTGTCTCCTTCTTTATTTGTGTAGCTTCCAGAGCTCCTGGGGTGGAGTTGGCAAAGTCCTCCTCACCTTCAAGGATTTCTGTGCAAAAATTACAGATTTCTTATTAACTAAACAGGTCTTGAGTTATGTCTTGAGGATCACTAACTTCAGAATGCCATTAATGATAACTGTTGTTAACAATTTAATCTCTTAATACATTAAAGCTGCCATTTCTCTGCAGCAGTGGGCTTAATAGCTTTAATAAAAAGCCCACTTAATAGCAGTGGGCTTAATAATAAAAGTGTATACATTTAGAAGTAACAGCTGCATAAGATAAGTTTAGAGATGAAATGTGCAAATTCTTCAGTTATTTAAACCTGGATCAGAATTTGTAGAATGGTTCGCTAATCATGGTTGGATGACATGTAGTAATTGGTGAACCTCTATGCAGCAGAACGGGCAAGACAGTGACTTTCATAAGGGGTAGTACTGAAATACTGAAAGTCTCCCAAGCAACTGATGCCCAGAGTCACTGAATTAGCCCCAAACGGGACAAGAGTCTTTTCACTGACATTGCATCAGAGTGCTGTGCCTGGATGATTGATCTGCAAGGATGCCTGCCTGCCTGCCTGCCTGCCTGATAAAGCACTAAGGGCCTGTCCTCAGACCATCCCCCTGCTGTGGCTTGGAGGGGCTTACATCAGGCTGCAGGGTGACGGAGATGTCCCTGAGCTCCTCTCCACGGGGAGGAGATCTTCACTCCTCTGCCATTGGCCCTCCCGTGTTTAAGGGAGAAGTCCACCCCTCAGCCCTGGGACAGACGGATGGACAGGCGGATGACGCAAGTGGTCTTTCCGATCCTCGTTTCCAGGAGAGGACACTGCTGTACACAGATTAATGGTGAAGGCCAGACTGCGGATCGATAACAGCACTTTCTGGCTCCCAGCCTGTTCTCAGTCCATTCAAGAATATCACCCCTAAACATTGAGCAATAAAGCATAATCTAGAGCCATTTTATTAAAAATTACCCCCAAATCAATACAGCCTTGTTTGCATTAGACGTTATGATGTGACCAGCATCATGTGCCTTTATATTTTTTTTTCCTTGGTGAGCCGAGGATGTGGGTAGGGAGACTGGATTTTTTTCTAAGCCACCGTTCAGAGTTTTTGGAGGGAGGGCACGAGGAGAGCAAGACTGAGCCAAACAGAACAAACCATGAACAGTTCCTGGCATGGATAAAACACAGTGGCTCCATCCACATTGTTTAGTGAAGCTATAGAACAGTTGCCAGCAAATATGCTTAATCTCTACTTTGTGTTTGAAGCACTGCTCACAAGGCCACCAGAGCAATGCTGTTGCAGTCTTTCCTTTTACCCGCTCAGACTGATACAAGCTCTGTTCTCTTTTGGCACTCTCTCACTAGCACTATTTATCCTGTTTTCTGGCTCATGAGGGAAGATTAGTAATTTTTCTCCTAATCCTTACTCTCATGTGCGTCTTGTATAGTAAAAAAGGGGAGTGGGGAACATCAAAGCTAGGGAAAATTTTTCAGTGTGTGGCCTAAGTTTACCCTCCAACAGCTTGCAAAGTTGCTACTGTCTCTGTTGTGCAGATCTGTTCTATGAGACTAGACGCAGAAAACTTGGATGCACAGTCAGGAGTTTCTGTCTGCAGCCCGAGTATGCGTTGGGCTAAACCACTGAATAATTAAAAACTTTTGCTTTTGCACATCTCTGAACCGTTACTTCACACCAGCCTGGGGCATATGTATTAAAGCATTATCTTTTGACTTTATGTCTTACATTTTAAAATTCCAAGCACACAGCAGTAAATGTTCAAAAGAAGCCAACATAAGTGCCTGAGTAAGTACCAACTAAGATCTTGACTTTAAACAACGAATTTTTAAAAAGCTCTTGCTTAGAAATTTATCTTGACAATGTCGTAACTTACTACACATGTGTCATGAGCGAGACATATAGTAAAGTATGCAGGGCACTAAAAAAAACTAAAAAAATAATGGCAAGAAAAGTCATTTGTTTGAATCAAAATGCTTGCTGTAGACACTTCTAAAGAACATCAGGCTACTGGCATTCCTTAGAATCTTGTTTTCATCTCTGTTGTTTCCCATGGCATTTCAGATTTAATCAAACACCTATACAGTCTGTGGTCTTACTGCAAAGTCTGACACGTGGAATGTACATGAACACAGAGTTAAAACTGACTCACTACTGCCTGTGCAAACTGAAGCAATTTGCTCTTCTGCATAGATTTCTGGAATTAACTGTCCTTAAAAGTGGTCTCATGAAATAGAAAACATCAGTCAAAACGACCAAATAAGGTTTTATTTCCAGATTGATTTAATACGGGTATCTTCTACCAGAAAAGATAAAAATTTGCAGTGACCCTAGCCTTTCCCCAGCTGCCTTTGCAAAAAAAACCCGGGGTTTGCTGTGACACTCGTGCCCCCTCTGCTGGACCCTTTGCGGGGACGCGGCTCCAGGGACACCGGGAAAACCTAACAGTCTGTCGGAGAACGTGTAGGGATTTATCTGCCTCTGTCTTTTCCTTCTCAGGTGGGCATTTGAGCAAATGGGTGGCAAAGGAGGTGCAGATTTGAGCAGGTGGGCAGAGGAGAAAAGCAATACCATGAAACATCAAATAACTAGGTATTTTCCTGAGACTGGTGCTTTTGTCTTTTGACTAATACACATTAATTTTTCCCTTACTAGAGTATGGCAAGCCTGACTGGACCATTTGTAAAGATTGGCAGTGGTGACGATGTTGCTGTGGTTAATAACTCAGGTCCACATGTGAGATCGTGAGAAGAACATACACTTCTGAGGGAGCTTGTGCACCTCTGTGCATTTACACACCTGCAATTGCCAGAAAAATGTCTGCCCAGGCTAGCTAGTATATATCTAGATAAGTGTATGTATAACCGACTGCAGAGTACATTCATGCCATGTACTAATTAGGAAAATACCCTGACACAAGGTGAACAGAATTTCTAAATTCTGATTTACGTCAAATTATTTTTCTTTTACAAATGTTCTTTAAAGGCATATGAGTACATACATATAAATTGTAATTACATACTTGTTGAGAAACAGTTTACACAAAAGTTCTGTTGAACATGGAGTAGTCAAGAAGTCACATCCTAAAAGCTATCAATTGTCAGACATCTACTGATATCAAAGAACCAATGCAGTATGGTATTCCTGCCTGCCTGCCTTTTTCACTATTTATCAGCAAGTAAATTTATGAATACAGAGGTACATACAATCTCTTTATTTACCAGTTTCACACTTCAAGTTTATTTGAACTGTCTAGGAAAGGCTTGTACCACAATTAGAGAATAAAGGGTCTCCATGATATTGTGACATAAAAAGTATGCGTCTTTTCTCTGCTTTATATAATATCTAATTATGTTACCATTAATAACATTAAAGTCTAGGTGTTTTTTACCAGCTGTGGTAACATAACGTGAGACTGTATTGTTCATTTGGGAATGAGGGGAAGAATTTAAGAATTTTGGAAACTGAAACTGCATCTCTTCATGATAGTACTGTGGTTTTGCCTTTTTTTCCCCACGGAAGCTTGAACAGTAGTCTGTAGAGTGTATAGGCTGAGCCAGAGACACTTCTGAAACACTTAACTATTTTAATCTTTCCCCATAAAATCACATTACAATTACTCAGAAAGAAACAAAATATGCAGTTAAAATATATCTATTTGACAAGGGAAATGGTAATCAAGGTAACCTATAGATGTCTAACACTTAATACTTATCTATTTATCCTACCTAAAGGAATGTTAAAGTATCAAAAATGAGTACTCAGAACTTTATTTTTATTCAGTTAACTTTATCTTAAATAACTCGTTAGGAAGATTGCAGTCCAAAAAGTTACAATATTATGTAGCTGCAGGCTACTGTCAGATGACAGTTTAGTGGCACTGCTGCATCTATGTATTATTACACTGTCTTACGACTGTTTGTGTATATGCATTAATTTTACTTCTTGATGGGCAGAAATGGAAGTTGATGCATTTTACAAGTAGTTTTAACTGGATCCTACAAAGTACTATTTATGATTTCTTATATATTTAATCTCTCTAAAATGAGGTCCCTATAGGCAATGCACTTTTCATGACAATCTGTTTTTCCCTAATGAATGCCTCAAGTGCCTATGGTGATCTGGTAAAAGGCCAGTTATATATTTCTTTGTTATTAAATTTAAATTAATGCATGTAATTGCTCTTGAATGGTAAAACAAGAATACTACTGTCCAGTATACCTCAAATTAACCTCTTATGATTAATCTCTCATGGCTTTACTTACTTGTCGTAGCTGTTTCTTTCGCTATATGCAGAGCTGCCAGATTCTCTGGAGTAGTATTTACAGTAACATCATCTGTCAGAAGATTTTCAATTTGACATTAAAATCTTTCAAGTCCACATTAGACCATTTAAAATTCTGTAAGACTACTCCTTAACGTCTAATTGAGACCATATTCTGCCTCATGCTACTGAACGAGATCATGAGGTCCTCTGTTGTGGAAAGTCAAGCCCATTAGCCTTCAAGACTTTCATGTGTCTCTAGCTGAATGTTAAATTCCCACTTCCCCTGAAAGTTATGCTTCCAGGTGTAAACATGTTTCTTTGTAAAGAGTGCATGTTCTTCATATTCAGCTCTTAAATGAAGTTTTCATCTCCTGACACGAACATTTACGCAATTATATTAATAGTGATCATATTATATTGTGAAAAAGAGAATGCCATATTAGAGGAGACTGAACAATTCTAATCTTTGGGAAGACGTAGTTTAAGTAAAAACAAATGAGTAATACATTGCACTCAACTTGCTTAGACCAAGAGTTTCTTCTTCTTTACATCTTGGGTCATGAATCTTTGAAAAGATTACTTACCTAGACTGTTTTTATCAAATTTAGCAGAGCACTGTAAATGTGCACGTGTGCCAGTTTTTTTTTGAAAGTATATTATCACTATGACATTATCTCCTGCTTAAAGTTTTTTAGGCTTCTGCATTTTCTAACTGTCATTACAGTGTGGGCTTATTTTAGAAATCTATCTTAACTTA